TATAGTTAGGGCTGGTTCAGGTTTATAGTTAGGGCTGACTCAGGTTTGTACTAAGGGCTTGCTCAGGTTTGCGTAGAACCACCTCTAGTTATGCTGCTATAGACCTAGACTGCTACAGCACTTCCTGCGATAAACTGAACTCCTCTCTCCTCCTTTTCCTCTCCTTCTGTATCTATTCATGTCCCATTAATGCATGTTACTAATTTGTCTTCTTCCCGGGAGTCTTTGTACTCTAATTACAATTGTCATTTTTGTCATATGGATTGTGTGAGGATTTATGTCTAACTCTGGTGTATTTCCCTCAGTAGTGTCCTCCCCCGAGTCCCGCCCACTGCCGTGCCTCTCTCTGTAGGCACAGCTGATGCTTATCTCCGGTGATCATCTCCAGCTGACATAAATACTCCGATCACTCTCATTCCAGTTGTCAGTCCGTCCGTTTACCTACCTGGTATTCCAACCCGTGAGTTGTCCGTTTTTTCACTCTTTGAAGATCTGCTACTAACAATCCGTTTTGTTTTCAACTTGCCTACCATCCAGTGTCGAGCCTTGGGTTTTTGCCTAGTCCGCGTCCGCAGCTGGCAGGCAGGCTGGATCGACTGTGTGATACCCGGGGCTCGACACACTTCCCGGCTAGGATCCAAGCGGAGAGCGAGGACGCGCCTCCGTGTTGACGTGTGACTGTTTTCCTATTGGCTTCGTCTGCCGCTCTGAAAGATTAGCCACTTTCCGGCTTGGACCCGTGCGGAGCGCGTGGAGACGCCTCCTATTGACTATCTATTTCCTGTTTTTTTCCCCTGACAGAGAAATAAATAATCTTGGTTTTGAAATAGAACTCTGCTGTCCTGAGTCTGCATTTGGGTCCATGAACACACCACATCATAACAGAACGGACTGACCAACACTATGGACCCAGCGGCCGCAGCAGGATCTCCACCTGCAGATCCCCTGCAGGTGGCGATCACAAACCAAGGCGTTCTTCTGGGACAGCAACACCATCTGCTGCATGATATGCGGGGATTGCAGCAAGCCATCGGGTCTCAGGTGGCTGAGATTGGCAGCATGGTGCAGGGACTCGCACAGCCCCGCCCCTCCCCCCTAGATCAGACGGCGGGGGACGCGCAACTGGTCCGTGAGTCATTTGTTCCGTCTCCTGAACCCTTCCACGGAGACATGAGGGGATGTAGAGGTTTCCTGCTCCAGACGATGTTTGTGTTCAACCAACAGCCCTGCACGTATGCATCGGACAGTTCTAAGATTGCCTATCTGACCGGGTTGCTACATGGCCGTGCTCTCGACTGGGCCCAGGCCTGGTTCACCCAGAACCCGTTGGATACGGTTTCATTTGGACAATACCTGGAGGCGTTCAAGAGAGCTTTCAACCACCCTACATACTCTCAGGATGCTGTTCAGAACCTCCTCCGCCTCCGTCAGGGCTCTGCTAGCGCCGCTGAACATTCTATTGACTTTTGTATCCTGGCCGCAGAGTCTGGTTGGGAGGAGAGGGTGCTAAAGGGGTTTTTTCTCAGCAGCCTGTCGGAGGGATTAAAGGACGAGCTTGCTGTTCTGGAGGAGGCCAAGACACTAGAAGACCTGATCGCTCTCACCATTCGACTGGATACTCAGATGCAGGAACGTAGGAGAGAGCGTAACCACAGGTTCCCAGCACCGGTTCATCAGCCAGTAACCACTTCCGGTCGCCGGTCCCCAGGTCCGCCTCGCCGCCGCAGCCCAGGCCGCCAACACTCGCCCACTCTGGCACCTTCTCCGAGGATCAAGATGAGCCCATGCAGTTGGGACGGTTCCACCTGTCTCAGGGAGAGAGGGAGCGACGAATCTGTTCCGGAGCCCGCCTCTACTGCGGCGAGCCGGGTCACCGTATCCCTGTCTGCCCGGTGCGACCAAAAGACAGGGCTCGCCAGTAAGAGTGGGAATACTGGCGAGCGATTCCACCCGACTCCCCAGTCTCAGGTCCCGTCTCACACTACCAGCTAAGTTATGTCTGCCGTCCGGTGTTCTACCAGTCTTTGCTCTCATTGACTCCGGAGCAGAACAGAGTTTTTTGGACTCCTCCTTGGCCTTCGCGCATGGGATTCCCTTGGAGGAGTTGGAATGCCCTCTTCAGGCAAACGCTCTGGATGGAAGTCCCTTGACCAATATCACTCACCTGACTTGCCCTATTACCCTGCTCGTGTCAGGAAACCACCAACACGAGATCCGTTTTTACATCTGCTCTACGCCCCAGATGCCTCTGCTTCTGGGCCATCCCTGGCTCCGGGACCACAACCCACAGATAGACTGGGCAGGAAACGGAATCATCGGTTGGAGCCCTAGATGTCTTTCGAGGTGCCTCAAGTCCACCATTCCCCGGCAGACCTCTTCTCTCCACACCCCTACTATCGGAACTGATCTCACCTCGGTCCCCTTGGAGTATGCTGATCTCAGTGAGGCATTCAACAAGGAACGAGCCCTTTCCCTGCCACCCCACCGACCCTACGATTGCGCCATATAAATATTCCCTGGCGCCACCCTGCCCTCCAGCCGACTATACAACCTTTCCCGACCGGAACGTGAGGCGATGGAGACCTATATCACAGACTCCCTCACTGCTGGAATTATCCGCCCGTCATCCTCCCCGGTAGGAGCGGGGTTTTTCTTCGTGGCCAAGAAGGACAAGAGTCTCCGTCCTTGCATCGACTACAGAGGGTTAAACCAGATCACCACCCGGAACAAGTACCCGCTACCCCTACTCAACTCTGCTTTTGAATCCCTACCCGGTGCCACGATTTTCACCAAGCTAGACCTCCGCAATGCCTACCACTTGGTTTGGATACGAGAGGGGGACGAGTGGAAGACCACTTTCAACACTCCCCTGGGACATTTCGAATACCTGGTCATGCCATTCGGACTTACAAATGCACCAGCCGTTTTCCAGGCTTTGTTGAATGACATGCTCAGGGATTTTCTCAACCGGTTTGTGTTTGTCTACATCGACGACATTCTGATTTACTCCTCGAACCTACAGGAACATTGCCACCATGTCCGTCAGGTCCTTCAGCGCTTACTCTTCATCAAAGCCGAGAAATGTGAATTCCATGTCACCTCCGTACAGTTTCTTGGTTTCATCATTGAGGAGGGTCAAATTCGCAAGGACCCGGAAAAGGTTAAAGCGGTTACCGAGTGGCCAGTCCCCTCTAACCGGAAGAAGCTCCAGCAGTTCCTAGGCTTTGCAAACTTCTTACACCGGTTCATTCGGAACTAGTCAGACGGCGTCACCCCTAACCAGACTCACCTCCTCTAAAGTGGATTTTTCTTGGTCACCCGAGGCCAACCGGGCGTTTAACACCCTCAAGGAACGATTCACATCAGCCCCCATCCTAGTACAGCCGGATGAAAGCCACCAGTTCGTGGTCGAGGTGGACGCCTCCGACACCGGAGTAGGAGCAGTATTATCACAACGCTCAACCACTGACTCTAAGCTCCGCCGGTGTGCTTTTTTTCTCTCGACGCCTTTCCCTGGCCGAGCGGAACTATGACGTGGGCAACTGGGAGTTACTGGCCGTCAAGCTGGCTCTGGAGGAATGGAGACATTGGTTGGAGGGGTCAGTCACACCCATTGTGTGGACCGACCACCGAAATCTTGAATACATCCATTCTGCCCGGCGACTGAACTCCCGCCAAGCCTGTTGGGCTCTGTTCTTTACCCGTTTCAACTTCGCAGTTTCACCATCACCTACCGCCCAGGAAGTAAGAACATCAAGCCCGACGCCCTCTCTCGTCAGTTTTCCCCAGACGAGGCTGACCCAGCTCTTGACACAATTGTTCCACCCGCCTGTGTCCTAGGTGTTCTCACCTGGGCGATAGAGTCTGCAGTGCGGGAGGCTCAGCAGACCCAGCCAGACCCAGGAGGTGGTCCTCATGACTCCCGACTCTCCGGCCACCCTGGGATAAGACGTACAATCAACTGGCTCCGGCGCTCCTTCTGGTGGCCATCTTTGGACAATGACACCCGAGCTTACATCTTAGCCTGTACCACCTGTGCGCGCAACAAAACCTCACACAGACCCCCTGTCGGACTATTACGACCTCTGCCTGTTCCCCACAGGCCTTGGTCGCATATGGCATTGGACTTCGTCACCGGATTTCCCCCCTCCGAGAGCAACACGGTCATCCTGACCATCGTGGACCGGTTTTCCAAGGCGGCTCACTTTATTCCCCTTCCCAAGCTCCCATTGGCCCGCGAGACTGCAGACTTGTTGGTTCAACATGTCTTTAGACTCCACGGCATCCCTATGGACATTGTTTCTGATCGGGGTCCTCAGTTCTCCTCCCAAGTTTGGAAGGCGTGCTGCCGCAGCCTCGGTGCCACCGCTAGCCTCTCCTCCGGCTTTCACCCCCAGACCAATGGGCAGACCGAGAGGCTTAACCAGGAGCTAGAAGCCATGCTCCGATGCGTAGCGGTGTCAAATCCATGTTCCTGGAGTCGTCACCTGGCCTGGATAGAGTATGCACACAACAGCCATACCGCCACGGCAACGGGTCTCTCCCCCTTCGAGGCCTCCATTGGCTACCAACCTCCCCTTCTACCCAGCCAAGAGGTCGAGATTCTTCGCCGATGCAGAAGAGTCTGGAGAGAGACTCGTGCCGCCCTACTTCGTTCTTCCGAACAAAACAAGCGTCTGGCTGATCGCCACCGCACACCCGCACCCACCTATCTTCCCGGTCAACAGGTCTGGCTTTCCACCAAGGACATACCCCTACGCACAGAATCCAAGAAACTCTCCCCCAGATACATTGGCCCGTTCCCCATCGTCTCCGTTATCAACCCAGTCACGGTCAAGCTCAAGCTCCCGCAATCCATGAGAATCCACCCTGTTTTCCATGTGTCTCTTCTCAAGCCCGTACACTCCAGTCCTCTGAACCCTCCAGCCGAACCCCCTCCACCCCCCCGACTCATCGAAGGTGGTCCGGTTTACACGGTCGACCGTCTCCTGGATGTCCGCCGACGAGGTAGGGGTTACCAATACCTCGTTGATTGGGTGGGGTATGGTGCGGAAGAACGATGCTGGGTTCCTCGCTCCCAGATTATGGATCCGGAGCTACTCCGCACATACTATCGCCTACACCCTGATAAGTAGGGAGGCTCCCGTTGAGGGGGGGGTACTGTGAGGATTTATGTCTAACTCTGGTGTATTTCCCTCAGTAGTGTCCTGCCCACTGCCATGCCTCTCTCCGTAGGCACAGCTGTGCCTCATCTCCTGTGATCATCTCCAGCTGACATAAATAGTCCGATCACTCTCATTCCAGTTGTCAGTCCGTCCGTTTACCTACCTGGTATTCCGACCCGCGAGTTGTCCGTTTTTTCACTCTTTGAAGATGTGCTACTAACGATCCGTTTTGTTTTCAACTTGCCTACCGTCCAGTGTCGAGCCTCGGGATTTCACCTGCACGAAGAAGCCTTCCAGTTAGTTCCTCAGAGATCAACTGTGAGGTCTTGGCGATCCTGTGTCGAGCCCCGGGTATCACACAGTCGATCCAGCCTGCCTGCCAGCCGCGGACACGGACTAGCCACTTTCTGTCTAGGATCCAAGCGGAGCGCGAGGACGTGCCTCCGTGTTGACGTGTGACTGTTTTCCTATCGGCTTCGTTTGCCGCTCTGAAAGATTAGCCACTTTCCGGCTTGGACCCGTGCGGAGCGTGTGGAGACGCCTCCTATTGACTTTATCTATTTCCTGTTTTTTTCCCCTGACTGAGAGAAATAAATAATCTTGGTTTTGAAATAGAACTCTGCTGTCCTGAGTCTGCATTTGGGTCCATGAACACACCACATCATAACAGATTGACTATGTTGTAATTCTAATATATTGTTCATTCTCTACATATGATATCTATAGTACTTCTGTCCATCCTGAGAAAGGGATCCCTCCTATGTTGCTCTCCCTGAGGTTTCTTCCTTTACTTTCCCCGTTTACAGTTCTTTTGGGGGGGAGATTTTCCTTTCCCAATGCGAGGATCCATGGACAGAAGAAAGATGTCATATGCTGTACAGATTGTAAAGCCCTCTGAGGCACATTTGCAATTCGGGATATTGGGCTAATCAAATAAATTGATTTAAATTGAATCCATCTATAAGTTTCTCCTCTTCCTCCTCCTCTCCCCAGTTTCCTTCTCCCATCCCACTTCGTACCGTCTCTCTCTCCAGCCCCTCCACTCCTTTAAGAAGCATAAATCAAGGTCATTTTCCGAATCGGCATCAAATTAAATAATAGAGGGGATCTTAGTTGTCTAACAACGGGGCAGATAAAAAGAGAAGACTCTCCAACAAATGATTATCCCCTCCGTCCCTGTAAACCTCTCTTCTCCAAAAAACCTCCCTATGAGACATTTAACCTTGTTGAGATGAAAACACCTATCACTTTATTCACTTTATTCTATAAGTATGCCGTTATCTTCACTGAAGGGATGTAGGGTTTCGGTTTGATTATTAATTTTTTTTCTGAAGAAAATAAGCATTATGTACCAAATTCATTAAGACTATTGTTATAACAGTCAGCTGTGAGTGAGAGATTAAATTGACTGCGGCGTATCATTCAGTCTGCCGAGAGGGTGATTGGCTGTAATCTACCGTCCCTCCACGACTTGCTTGCCTCCAGGACCCTGAGGCGGGCACGAAAGATTGTAGGCGACCCCTCTCTTTACAAAGACCAATTACAGTTGTAGACCTCCAAAGAGAGATTTTTAAACATTAGAACATTTTGGGAAAGTGAGGAGATATTTTCAATTTTTAACTTAAAGGTAGAGTAGAGTTTACTATATGATTAGAGTAGGGTTGAAGCATGCAGTTGTGATGGTCAGGGTTAGGTGCTGGCAAATTAAACTCTCCAGTCCATCACAAGTGAACAACACTAAAGAACAAATCTGTGTGTGTGTGTGCACTCACGTCAATATAATTAGCGTTGATGTAGTCAGAGTGGGGGTCTCCGTCCAGCAGCTGCAGTCGGACTCTTGTGTGATCGTCTGTGGGGTCAGATAGCACAAAATACAACGGGCCTAAAGTTACATTTACTCACAGATCGGAGCAGCTAACTGACTAGATGGGAAACCAACTAGGCCCAAAGTTAGGTGGCCGTCTAAACCAGAAATATGACAGCCCTTGTTGTTTGTTAAAATTCCTTAAATGAGCCATGTATACCTACCTAGCCATCTGTAGTCATGCACATCATGAATCATGAAAATCCTCTGTCAGTGGCAAATAAAAGCATGTCACTTTGAAATATGATAAAGCTTTGTTCTCATTCCTCTTTTCAGTTATTCTCTTTGTACTCGGTTTATGTAACTGCTACATAAAATATATCATTATACATTGGAAAAAAAAAAAAAAGAAAAGCGGGGCACCCTCCCGGAGCCAGACCCAGGAGGGAAGCTCGTCGGCGAGGGTCTGATAACCGGGCCTTCGCCCATGGGGCCCGGTCGGGCTCAGCCAAAAGAAACAACATGGAGCACCCACTCTGTTGACCCACCACACGCAGGGACAAGCATCGGGGTCGAGTGCAATGCAGACCAGGCGGCGGGCCGGGCTGGGGGCCTGGGCGAGCCGATCGCGGGCAGCATATACTAGCTCTAGGGACGTGCAACGTCACCTCACTAGCAGGGAAAGAGCCGGATTCTGGTGCAGGAGGTGGAGCGATACCAGCTAGATATAATTGGACTCACCACCACACACAGCACTGGCTCTGGAAGCAAGGTCCTGGAGAGGGGTTGGACTTTGTCCTTTTCTGGAGTTCCCCAGGGTGAGAGGTGCCGGGTGGGAGTGGGGAGACTCACGCGCCCCCGGCTGAGCACCGCTGTGTTGGTGTTCTTCCTGGAGAACAAGAGGGTCGCCTCCATGCGCATACGGGTTGTGGGGAGCAAGGCTCTGACTGTGGTTTGTGCTTATGCACCAAACAGCAGTTTGGAGTATCCGGCCTTCTTGGAGTCGGTGGGAGGGGTCCTGGAAAGGACGCCGCCTGCCGACTCCATAGTTCTCCTGCGGGACTTCAACGCTCTGTCGGGATCCCTGTTTCAGCTCCTCTCTCCCCTCCTTCCCCCTCAGCTCCTCTCTCCCCTTCTTCCTTCACAGCTCCTCTCTCCCCTCCTTCCCCCTCAGCTCCTCTCTCCGCTCGTTCCCTGTCAGCTCCTCTCAGCTCCTCCTCCTCCTGCTCTCCTTGCCTCCTTCGCCAGTCTGCACTAAGCATGGATTGAGTCTGTCACAGATATAGTTAATCAGTTAACTCCCTCTGGAGCTCAACTCACTCACGGCAACTCGCTGCTGTCAGCGCGGCTCCAGGCATCATGGGATTTAATAGCATGTGTGATTGAGTGTAATTGTGTGTGTGTGTGTGTGTGTGTCTATGAGAGAGAGATTGAGTAGTGTGTAAGTGTGTTAAAGTGTGCGTTCTTGACTTGCTCATATTTTCTGGGAAATCTTTAAGATGTGTGTTTTAATGTTCAAGTGATGTGTGTGGGTTCCAGTGTCAGCTACTATGTGTGTGTGTGTTGCAGTGTGTAATAGCCTATTAAGAGCAGAGCTCCCTGCAGCTGATGTGTCAAACACACTCTCACACACACACACAAACACACACACACACCTCAGCGAGCTTTTTCCAGCTGTTTGACAGAAGTGTGGAGAAAAAGAGATGAAGGAGAGAAACGATCATGAAGCACAGTTTGACCTCGAGTTCTGTTCAAGTCATTTTAAAGTTCGATCAAACAACCAATGAATCAACGATACAGACGTTCACTAAGTGACACACTCATCAATCAGGAAATCACAGAGCTCTCATGTCTCTTCTTGTCTCTGTATGATAAAGAAGAAAAGTCCTACAGCTTTGAATCTCTAACCTTCTCACCAATTATATATTATTCAACTTATATTCCTCAGTTTGAGGAAAGAAAACGTTCAGCTCCTGAAACAGTAAAGTGCGAGTCTCTATATCTGAGGAGGAAGGTTATTCTTGGTAAAAGTTCAGAGGGGGTGAAGGTAATCTAGACTCTTTACAATGAGATTACTTCATTATATTAAAATAGCATGTGTCTGAGAGAAATATATTCTGTTCAATAAAGAAACCAGTTTCTTGTCCACTAAAATAATCAGTTTGAAGAAGTCAAAGGTTCGATATCCGAGAAAAGAAACTTAATTTGAGTCTTAATTAACCTCATCTTTAAAATGTCCCTGATAGAATGAAACACTGCTGAGTTCATTTTAAACTCTTTAAACTCCTCTTTAAACTCGTCTCCAAACTCGTCTCCAAACTCATCTTTAAGCTCCTCTTTAAACTCGTCTCCAAACTCCTCTCCAAACCCCTCTTTAAACTCCTCTCCAAACTCCTCTCCAAACTCCTCTTCAAACTCCTCTCCAAACTCCTCTCCAAACTGCTCTCCAAACTCCTCTTTAAACTCCTCTCCAAACTCGTCTCCCAACTCGTCTTCCAAACTCCTCTCCAAACTCCTCTTCAAACTCCTCTTCAAACTCCTCTCCAAACTCCTCTTTAAACTCCACTTCAAACTCGTCTTTAAACTCCACTTCAAACTCCTCTTTAAACTTGTCTTCAAATTCCTCTTTAAACTCGTCTTCAAACTCCTCTTTAAACTCATCTTTAAACTCGTCTTCAAACTCGTCTTCTTCAAACTCCTCTTTAAACTCCTCTTTAAACTCCTTTTTAAACTCTTTTTTAAACTCGTCTTTAAACTCGTCTTCGAACTCGTCTCTGAACTCGTCTTTACACTCCTCTTCAAACTCCTCTTCAAACTCCTCTTTAAACTCCTCTTTAAACTCGTCTTTAAAGTCATCTTCAAACTCCACTTCAAACTCCTCTTTAAACTTGTCTTCAAACTCCTCTCCAAACTCCACTTGAAACTCGTCTTCAAATTCCTCTTTCAACTCATCTTCAAACTCCTCTTTAAACTCTTCTTTAAACTCCACTTCAAACTCGTCTTCAAACTCCTCTTCGAACTCCTCTATAACCTCCTCTTAAACTCCTTTTTAAACTCATCTTCAAACTCCACTTCAAACTCCTCTTTCAACTCATCTTCAAATTCCTTTCAACTCATCTTCAAACTCCTCTTTAAACTCTTCTTTAAACTCCACTTCAAACTCATCTTTAAACTCGTCTTCAAACTCCTCTCCAAACTCCTTTTTAAACTCCTTCTTAAACTCCTTCTTAAACTCCTCCTTAAAGTCCTCTTTAAACTCCTTCTTAAACTCCTTTTTAAACTCGTCTTTGAACTCGTCTTCAAACTCCTCTTTAAACTTGTCTTTAAACTCGTTTCCGAACTCGTCTTCAAGATCCTATTTAAACTCCTTCTAAAACTCGTCTTCAAACTCCTCTTCGAACTCCTCTATAACCTCCTTTTTAAACTCCTTTTTAAACTCCTCTTTAAACTCGTCTTTAAACTCGTCTTTAAACTTGTCTTCAAACTCGTCTTCAAACTCGTCTTCAAACTCCCTTTTAAACTCCTTTTTAAACTCCTCTTTGAACTCGTCTTCTTCAAACTCCTCTTAAACTCCTTTTTAAACTCCTCTTTAAACTCGTCTTTAAACTTGTCTTCAAACTCGTCTTCGAACTCGTCTTCAAACTCCTCTTCGAACTCCTCTATAACCTCCTCTTAAACTCCTTTTTAAACTCATCTTCAAACTCCACTTCAAACTCCTCTTTCAACTCATCTTCAAATTCCTCTTTCAACTCATCTTCAAACTCCTCTTTAAACTCTTCTTTAAACTCCACTTCAAACTCATCTTTAAACTCGTCTTCAAACTCCTCTCCAAACTCCTTTTTAAACTCCTTAAACTCCTTCTTAAACTCCTTTTTAAACTCCTCTTTAAACTCCTCCTTAAACTCCTATTTAAACTCCTTCTTAAACTTGTCTTCAAACTCCTCTTTAAACTCGTTTTCGAACTCATCTTCAAAATCCTGTTTAAACTCCTTCTTAAACTCGTCTTCAAACTCCTCTTCGAACTCCTCTATAACCTCCTCTTAAACTCCTTTTTAAACTCCTCTTCGAACTCGTCTTCAAACTCCCTTGTAAACTCCTTTTTAAACTCCTCTTTAAACTCGTCTTCGAACTCGTCTTCTTCAAACTCCTCTTTAAACTCCTCTTTAAACTCCTCTTCGAACTCGTCTTCGAACTCCTCTTCAGAAGTTGTCTTTGTTTTAATTAAATACAGTTTATGGAATCATTTCAGATTAAACTAAAACGTGTTGTTTCTAAACGGTGAAAAATGTTGAAAATGGGAAAGTGAAAGTGACACACACATCTCATCTTTACTAAATGAAAACACATCAAAGTGGTACACAACACACGCACACACACGCACACACACACTTGTGTAGGAGTATAAATGAAGACCTATATAACAACAACCATATGACCACACACACTTCAACACACCCCCTCCTCTTCACCTTAGTGCTCCTTCATCACACACACACACACCCTAATTATGCACACGCGTGAATGCTCACCAATGAATCTGTTTATTTTATTGAAATATAAATGAACTGCTGGCAGAGAAGGAGAAGAAACAAGAACAAGTGAGGAGGAGGAGGAGGAGGGGGGAGAGGGAGGACAGGGAGGACATGGAGGAGGAAATAGAAGCAGACAGATACCTGTAATGAGGAAACACTACTGAGCTTTGCCTCAACACAGATAGTTAATCAGACAGGATGGATGGAGAGGAAAGAAAGAAAGGAAAGGTGAGAAGGTATTTAAAAGAGGAGAGAGGAAGAGACAGAATACAATATGATCTAAGAAAGGGATTTAAAGTAGAATAGAGATTACACATTCACAGAAATGAGAGGAGAGTTGAGATGAGCAGAGAAAATAAAAGATGAGATGAAGAAGAGGTGAGGATAGTGAGGGGAGAGCAGATGGAGCAGAAGAAACATTAAAAAAGAACAGGAAGGGAGAAAAGGGAGGAAAAAAGAGGGAAAAACTAAAATATGATTGTAGATGTAGGTTTAAGGAGAGGAGGAGAGGAGAGGAGGTTTAAGGAGAGGAGGTTTGATGAGAGGAGGAGAGGAGGAGAGAAGGAGAGGAGGTTTAGGGAGAGGAGGTTTGATGAGAGGAGAGAAGGAGAGGAGGTTTAAGGAGAGGAGGTTTAAGGAGAGGAGGAGAGAAGGAGAGGAGGTTTGATGAGAGGAGGAGAGAAGGAGAGGAGGTTTGATGAGGAGGAGAGGAGAGGAGGTTTAAGGAGAGGAGGTTTGATGAGAGGAGGAGAGGAGAGGAGAGGAGGTTTGATGAGAGGAGAGGAGGAGAGGAGGTTTAAGGAGAGGAGGTTTGATGAGAGGAGGAGAGGAGAGGAGGAGAGGAGGTTTGATGAGAGGAGGAGAGGAGAGGAGAGGAGAGGAGGTTTGATGAGAGGAGAGGAGGAGAGGAGGTTTAAGGAGAGGAGGTTTGATGAGAGGAGGAGAGGAGAGGAGAGGAGAGGAGGTTTGATGAGATGAGAGGAGGTTTAAGGAGAGGAGGTTTGATGAGAGGAGGAGAGGAGAGGAGGAGAGGGGGAGATGTCATTTGCTCCTCTTCTGTCACATGTGAACCTTCCTGCTGCTTTTCTCCCTTCTCTTCTTCTACTGCTTTGGATGTTCAGAAAACTAAGAAGTAAAAAAGACGGACTGCTGGAGACAGAGTGAAGAATATCCTGATGTTTCATGTCTATTCTGTTAAGTGGAGTATATGTTCATCATTTTCAACAATAATGAATATGATTGAATCAGAGACTTGGTGGTGAACTATACATTGTGTCTAAGAGACTATTGATCCTCTTTGTGAGGCAGCTTGTTCTGAGGTCTTTGCTCTTTGTGTCGTTAACCTTAAGTATATATATATATATATATACATATATATATATATACTGTATATATATATACACTTTTCTTTGTTCTAATAAAGACAGCACACGAAGTCATTTCCCTCGGAGCCTTTTAAAACATTTTCTCAAGAAAATGAGGCTTTGTACAATAACAGCAAGCAAGATGGACAGTTTCCATTACCAGGACCTTGTAATTAAAGGATTTATACTAATAGCACATTTATCATAATTCCTGTTGGCTATCGAGTTCTTGACAGGCTATTTCCTTCAGAGCAATGTTTCATTTTAAAGCCTCAGGTTAGTGGAGCGTGTTTGCATTAACATCTCAACTCTCGCTGTGGACACACACACACACACACACACACACACACATTATTAGTGCCCACAATATCATAGCAAACACTTGACACATGACACAGAGTCACATTCACATGCAAATGGAGACACGCACACACTTCATTACAGCAGCCTGGCTTTCCTCCAAAATTAAGCTTCATTTTGGAGGAAAGTCGGCTGCAGGCTTTGATCAGCAGGATGGAAATAAAACCAGAGTTTTTCTGCCGTGGTGGGTTCCTGCGTCAGACTTACAGAAGTTGAGGAAATGAGGGTTTAAAAAAGGATGTTTCTCATTAGAAATGCATATTTATATGTTGTTTTCTACTAAACACATTGTTTCACTGTCAGATGTAGTGAGAATATTTAAGTTTCAGTTTTGTAAAAGCATCGACTGATTCTTCCACACAAACCCAGATCTCCTGGCTTCTGGCTCTCTGCAGGTTTCCTCCAACAGGAGCTGTAGGGAGTCAGTAGGGACCTCCTGAGGGACACTCTCCTGAGGGACACTTCAGCTGGAGACACTTTAGCTGGAGACACTTTAGCTGGAGACACTTTAGCTGGGGACACTATAGCTGGGGACAGTTTAGCTGGGGACACTTTAGCTGGAGACACTTTAGCTGGGGACACTTTAGCTGGGGACATGGGTACCAGCACAGCGGTTTGGACCTGTGTCCTCCAACTGAAGGACAGTGTCTTTACCAGTACACCTGGTGCCTTAGCATGTTTTATATAACCAATGGTTAAACTAACCCAGACTAACATAAACCAAACCTCACCTGACCAATTTAAGTTGAAACTGAGCCAGATTAAGTCAAACCACACTCATGTTCAGCAGAACGTACTGCATGAGTACATGAGTACTCCATCTTTGCCATTGCAGTACTCACAAGCGATGATGTTGCCATAGCGATTCTTGTTGCGGTTCTCATCCTTCTTGGCCGTTTCCCAGGGTGCCGTCTGTCCCTCTGCCAGAGCCTGAACACATGTAAACACAACAATAGTTTTATATTGAGGTGCACATATGGCCTGATGACCAGAACTAGTACACAGACACATGGGAAGTTAAACCGGTACATAAATATGAATTATGATTATTTAATGAGCCAGCTGGGGCAGTGAGTTGCTGCTGAAACAGAAGACGGCAGAGCTTACAGGCAGATGTGATTCACCTTAAGAAGGTAAAAGGAAGGCCTTACTGAATGTCCATCATGTTACACCTTCCAGCATGTGAACACTGAAGTTATGGCAACAAATACTGAGATGGCAGAAATCCCAGATTCATCAATGCCAATCAGGTGAGATCTATCCTTTGGCCAGGTAACTCTGGGACACTCCGACAGGCTGGGAGGGAAACAGAACCATCCAACTTTGTTGGCAGAGGTGAAGCGCTTGAGCTCCGACTCTGAAATAAAAAGCAGCCAGCAGCGAGAGCAACAGTGGGAGTCAACGTGTTCCTGGATGTCTGAAGAGATGCAGGTACGTTTGGATGAGTTGGTTTGGTCTGAAAGAGAATGTTGTTGAAGGAGAGAAGACAGATTGTCCTCTCTCTACTGCTGTGATGACAGGAACAGAAAGGACTAATTGTTCATGTGTGTGTTCATACTTCACTCTTTCATCTATAAAGTAGGTAGTTGTGAGTGTCTGACAATGAACTGAAATAATACTATATGTGTACATAATAACAATATATGTGTCTGTGTGTGTGTGTGTGTGTGTGTGTGTTAGGGCAACAAACCAACTCTCAAAGGTCGCCGGACATTTCAAACCATCACACTGGAGGAGGTCACACACGCACACACACACTATACTATACAAATGCACTGTGACAAACAAACACCTAAACGTATTGCTCCATCAAGCAGAAAATGGATTCCTTTTAAGTGGCATATGGGCTTGTGTGTGTGAGTGTGTGTGTGTGTGTGTGTGAGAGTGTGTGTGTGTGTGTGTGTGTGTGTTCATATACTGTATGTTTATACTTTCTCTGTTGCTTACATTCATTTCTGAAAAATAGGCAGAAAATTGTTTTTATCCATTTTAGGTCGGAGGTTTCTGTACGCGTAATGGTGTGTGTGTGCGTGTGTGTGTGTGTGTTCAGTTGCATAAGGTGTGCGTTGGCTGAACCTAAAAGAAAAGAAAATGAAGACAGTGCTAATAAAAGTCCTGGTCTGTCCTCTCTGTGGTGTTTTTGAGATTATCGAGGGTCTAAATAAAACTATAAAACACAGACGAAGAGAAACACACCGAGTGGTTTAAAGTTACTCAAATAAATCAATTTAAAAGCTCTCAACCAGATTGAAACGTGGAGGAATTACAGCAAGTTTGTTTGACACAATAAATGTGCTTAAAAAGTTTCACAGAATGTTATCTGAAGTAACTGTTATTTTCATTTCAATGTACTGACGGTGAAACAACAGCTGAGTTGTTTCTTCAACCCTTTCTAAATGTTAAAGCAGTGTGATGTTCTTAAAGTGCAAACTAAAGTAAAGTATGGACGACTGTGGACTCCTATATGTTGGACATCTGAATCTGATATTTGTGTCCAGCAGGAGACACCTTAACGTTGGTGTCCATTAAGTATGAAGGCCATTATACTCTAACTCAAGTGAGCTTAACTACAACAAAGAGCTCTTATGGCCTAAACTCAAAAAAGCTTGAATGAGAATGAGTCTAAAAATGTCTGTTAATGATAAACTGTGCTCTAAACAAACAGACCTAGCAGAGACAGAAGAGAGAGCAGTGGGGTGAAGGCTGAAGAAGAGAGACACATGGGATTAAGGGTTAAGAAACAGGAGGAAAGGGAGAGAGAGAGAATTAAAGTTGGAGTGAAACAAAGATTGGAGCAAAGAGAGCAGTGATAGTTGATGAACACTGACAGACAACTCAATAAATCTGGTGATGTTATGAACCAAGAAAGACAGAAAGTAAGAGGAGGAACAGAACATTTGTTTTACTGCTCATGAATATTGATGTGGTAAAGAGTTAATAATTGATTTATGAAACCAAATCCAATCCTACAATCTCTCTCATTCACACAAATACTGCACAACTGGAGAGAGACAACAGGGAAATACAGATGCAGCATTCACAGAATAAGGGAAATAATCTCCAAGCCGGAGACGATACCGTCATTTATTGGTCTTATTTTCAAATGATGTATTGGATTGTAACCTAAAAATCGATCATCTGTGGATCTGGAAACACTCAAATATTCCTCTACAGGAACAATGTCAATCCTCACTCTTTAGTATTTGACTGACTTGTGACACGCCGGCTTAAAACAAAAGAGCATCTCATCTCTCAGCAGAAGCACCTCGTTTACGCCAATGATCACTTTAAAAAAGGTCACTGCAATAAAAGACCTTTTTAACCGGCTTTCAGACCTTTAGCTGCTGTGTGTTCAGGGTGATGGACGCAGTGAAGACACAATGATGAACCACAGACATCTTTGGGCTGTGTGACACACATATCCATCATAAAAGAAAGTCCTTCTCTCTCTGACGCACTGTTTTACAGCCGTGACTTTGAAACATTCAGGGGCCACTCACACATGTCATTCTATTTATTCTCTGGAGCTTTGGCCGAACTAACAGCTGCTGTGATGTCTTCCTATTGTTGCCCTCTTTGTGTGTTTGTCTAACGTTAATCACCTCGTACTCCTCCTTGAAGCCATAGCCCTGGCCACATTTCATCTGGGTGATGTGTTGGAGGAGGTCTGCCACTCGAATCGCTGGCTGGAACTGACCTGCAGGAACACAAACATTTTACAGAGAAAGAGACAAAAGGAGGTGAATATATTAAAGCAGAGACAGTATGTGGGAGGGAGAGATGAAATAAAAGGATCTTAAAATGATTTCTAATCAGTCTGAAATAACCAACTTATGCTCTATGATTGAACTAGATAACATAGCAAAGTGAATGTTAATAAGCCCCTCATTTATTACCTTTCACTTTAATGACCAAATGGCTATCATTATAGCTACGTATCTAATGGTAACTGGCAACATGACGTACTAAAGTAGCTAAAGGTGTGTGCTAACTAACCAACCCAACCACCAGCCTGTGCTGTGAGATCAATGAACTGCTTCAAACTGTGAATGATCACTTTTCTATTAGAAAACAGGTTCAGTTGCATGATGAGAGATCTTCAGCAGACGGTGATATTAGCTCCTTACTAACAGATTCGTGGAAAACACTTGACTTGCAACTTCCTGCATGGCTGACTATCTAAATGCCTAGTTAGCTTACTGGCTCACTCACTACAGCGAGCTGGTTGGTGCACATACCACTCTGGTAGGAGAGCTCCACAGACTCACAGCCTCCATAGGGGAAGCTCTGCAGGGTGAGAGAGGGCTGGGCGAGAGACGGCTGGCTGCTGTCTGTTGATAGAGAGAGAGAGAGAGAGAGACGGTGTTACCATGACAACAGACCTCCGGTCTATGACAACCCCCACACACACATTCAGTATGTGGACTGCACACACACACACACTGTGGACTGTACGGAGACACCGGTGAGAGAAAATGGGACGCCGAGTTAAATGGTCACTTAACTCCCTAAACTGTGATTGGTGGGCCTGACGTTGAACAGGATGAATGTAAGTGTGGACAGAAGAAGGAATGACGAAGGAAGACAATAATACAACCCAAGATGCAGGAAGAAGAAGAAGAAGAAGAAGAAGAAGGTTTATTTGTTTCCATCACTTATCGTCTCTTTAGGTCACTTGTTGTTTCTCAGCCACTGAAAATGTCTGTAGAGCCAAATCCAAAACACTCTGATTCCATGTGGACAGAAACACTGTGACCACCAGAGGGAGGACACAATAAGTCAAAGTAAAGGACAAATAGACACGTTCATTTCAGAAAAATATTTCATGAAATAATCGGATAAGCGGATTCCGTCCCGGCCGTGGAACAGTGGACCAGCTCTTTACCCTCGCAAGACTACTGGAGGGGTTCTGGGAGTTTTCCCAACCAGTCTACTTGTGCTTTGTGGACTTGGAGAAGGCTTTCGACCGGGTCCCTCGGGGGTTCTTGTGGGGGGTGCTGCGGGAGTATGGGGTGCCGGACCCATTACATCCGGTCTCTGTACGACTGCAGTAGGAGCTGTGTCCGCATTCTCGGCAATAAGTCAGACACGTTCCCGGTGGATGTTGGCCTCCGCCAGGGCTGCCCTTTGTCTCCGGTCCTGTTCGTGACTTTCATGGACAGGATATCTAGGCGCAGCCTGGGGGCGGAGAACGTCAGGTTCGGGGGTTTCGGGATCGCCTCTCTGCTGTTTGCAGATGATGTGGTCCTGTTAGCCTCCTCGGATCGTGACCTCCAGCATTCACTGGGGCGGTTTGCAGCCGAGTGTGAAGTGGCGGGGATGAGAGTTAGCACCTCCAAATCTGAGGCCATGGTGCTCTGCCGGAAACCGGTGGATTGCTCCCTCCAGGTGGGGAGGGAGTGCCTACCTCAAGCGAAGGAGTTTAAGTATCTCGGGGTCTTGTTCACGAGTGAGGGTAAGATGGAGCGGGAGATCGATAGACGGATCGGTGCAGCTGCAGCAGTAAAGCAGGCGCTGCACCGACCGTCTTGGTGAAGAGGGAGCTGAGCCGGAAGGCAAAGCTCTCAA